CTAACACACTAACAAAAAAAAAAAGATGACAAGAGAGATGGCAATTAGCCTTTATAAAATAGATTGTCTTGAGTACACATAACCTTTTATGGAGAAAGAGAAGGGGAAAATGTTTTCAGATTACTTGTCTGATTTGTTAACCAGTTATGGAAAAACTGCTCTATAAATACTGCAAAGACTCGATATATAAACAGATAATCATGCAAAAGAATTGCAGACACTGCAACAGCTAATTGTCCCTGTATAAACTATATAAGCATTTGTTTTACATGGATTACACTACTCTTCAGCTGACATGAGTCAGGTTCTCTCCTTTCTTACTGTAGCAGATGTTGAGCTACAAATAAAGCATGTACTTTTGCTAAGAGTCTCTCCCTCAGGAAATAAGTGTTGGAAAATACAAAATATATTAGCTAAATAATTGGCTAGACCTTTGCAAGTGTGATTTAACCAATCTAACTGATGAAAGCTTGTTTAAAAGTGATCCATGGGGCAGAGATCACTGCACAGGCAATTCAAATATGTAACTCCCCCTTTTATTTTTATGAAGTACTAATATTAGAAACAACATCCATTTCTTGACTTTTATTTAATTTAATTGCATTGACGGAGCTAACTGCTTTTCACTTATCAACAGAACACATGGATATGTGTGTTACTAGTGGATACGGATACAATTTGTTTCACACAGCTTGCACCATGCAAAACAAATTGAATCTCCCAAAATAGATTGGAATTGCTTGGGCAGTACTAACACATATAAGGGAGTCAGTTGCTATAATCAATGCTAAACATTGGAATCACCTGCTCAGAGGAAGTTTAAGAAGTACAGGCTGCACTTTGTGAGAATTCAGTGGGTTTTTGACTGTTTGAGGAAAATATGCACACAATAGTAAAAGGAAGTCCTGATTAATGTTACCAATACTACACACTCTTTTCTCAGATGTTTAATTCTGAAAAGATTTGAAGATATTTACAATCAGCAGCAGCCCAAGGAGCCCTAAGGATAATGGGCCCAGATATCTATTAAACATCTGGTAACCGTCTTTCCAAGCAGCAGAACAGGCACATAATATTAACTGGTGATCTGGGATTCATGCCTTATTTCTAAAGAGGAAATGCATGTCTCAAGGGACATTCCATTATAAATGAACGCAAACCATCACATCAGGAAAAACCTTTATTTAAAACGTTAATTACTAAAAAAATTGCAACCAGGATAAATTATACAACGCAGATGAACTACTCATGCAATTTTAAAGGCAAAAATATCTTAACACATTTGGCATTATAATTCTCATTTTTCCTCCTTTATGGTATTTGCATTACTGGCACTGACATATATAATAGCAGGAAAACACAACCACTTAAAAGATGCCTCAATCCATGAGCTGCAGGAACAGCTAACAAAAGCACTGACAATTTAGAAACTGTTTTGTCAGATACGTTAATATTTTGCAGCACTCTGAAAACTTGCTATCTGATGAAAATACACCTACAAAAGTACAAATTCCTACAGTTTCATATGCAGTGTGATACTTTATCAGCTAGAAAAAAAGAAGGTAGTGTTTACAGACCATCAGAAAATCCCTGTCTTTTGAGAGACAAAGTTCTAGTTCCTGGTAAATACATAAAGTTAACAGATATCAGCCCTTAGACTTATCAGTTCAACACCAAGTATCATCCTATACTGGTATAAAGCAGGAGTAAATGTTCCATGTTTAATGGAAATTTGTCACAGGAATACGGCCATGGCCCCAATGTTGGAATAGGCTCTACTGAGTATATCTCTTCTTTAACTCCATTTTGTATTGCATTTACAAATATATTTGACCACTTCTAACCACCAACCCTCTAACCAACCCTCTCAACATCCGCTTCACACACACACACACACAAAGACATTTGGTTTTAGGGATAACAAACATATGGATACAATTTAGCCATGAAACAGAAACCAATTTAAGGTTAGTTTTCTCATAATCAAGCCAGGAATAGATAAGTATCAGTAGAAAGACAATACTTCTGTTTTGGTATTTATTCTTGGCCTTCAAGAGTCCTCATATATCAAATCTTAATCATGACGTTCCATTTAAAGGTAACCTTTAACACTTTAAGTAACATGCTACTTTACAGTCTTTCTGCAGTGCTTCTGCAGGACAGACTATCCATAAATTGCCCTTAAAAACCTGAATATGTTTCACAAGAAAAACCCAAAGGAACAGAAAATAAGCAGCCACTGCCGTATTCTGCAGCCACTAAATGCTGCACTCCATAGGACCAAATTCGATAGCCCAAAGTAATGCTTCTCCATAAATGGGAGCAACAGGGCCTCAGCACTGCTTTGCTCCACAGATCTGCTGCTACTGCACCGTACTCTTTGCTCATGTTGACACAGCCATTAAAAGCAAGCAAAACCTCCATGAAATCTATCTAAAGTCTGACTTCTGTGGAAAGATTTTTTTGTTTGTGTTCTGCTTTGTTGTGTGATTCCTCTGATGGTGCTGTTTCCAAAGTATTTATTAGTAAATTTGCAACCTCATACGCTGGACATGAACTTCTTTCTCTCATCCTCCTTGAAGGACCTCTGTCGCCTTCCTATCTGTCATCTCCTCCTGGCTTCAAATGCTTAAAGTAATAGAGAGAGCAAAAAGGGTACCAGAAAGATCCTGCTTCCTCTGAATTTCCACTGCGTTCTGCCATATTTCCAATCTGCTTTTCCTTAAAATGCATTTTTCTTCAGCTCCTGCTTACCCCATTGGTGACATCTTAGGAAAACAAAAGATACCCACCACAGGAAAGAAAAACAGAAGGGAGCGGGTACACGGCCTGTTTTGCTTTCAGGATGCCCTGCGGCACCATCCTTTCACCCTGAGCATACAGGCTGCCAAGACAGACGACTCTGCGATGGGAATGGTTTCTGAAGCGAATCAGCAGCCCTCGG